TTTGGAAAATCGTTTCTTGAATTTAACAAAAATTAATTGTATCGATTGCATTATCATCCGATTGGATATTTCGATCAAGACGACAAACAAAAAATTGGACATTTATAAATGGAAACATACAATCCCGAAATTGATTTAAGCCTACATGTACAGATGCTCGAAAATAAATTAAGAGACAACGAAAAATTACAATTGATTAAATTTTAGTTTGTGTCAGTGTGTGTGTGTGTGTGTTGTGAAATCGCCGAAACGAAAATCATTTATCTCATTTATCATAATTTAAATCATCGCCGAGGTGGATTCGTTTCGCGATTAGTCAATGACACACCGTTTTGGATTAGTGTATTTTGTTTTATATTTAAGTAATGTTTTTTTTTTGCTATGTGATATGGATAAACTATATATAAGACAAAGATCAGGAACAAAAATAATTCGATAAGTCTTAAACTAAGAGCGTCTAGCCTAAAGAGACATCGTTTAAACAGATAATGAACTGGTACAGCAGCAGTTGACTTACTTAGTCGTTTGCCAACGACGTTACATTTTTAATTAGTTACCATTCGACAACGCTCAATCGCCAACATTTGAATGATTCAATTGCATCGTTTCAGCGAATTTCGAAAGGAAAAACTTTTTTTTCTTCTTTCAAACTGGAATTGGCCATTTTTAGACTGAAAAAAATTGTTTGCATTTTTTTTCATTCTTGTGAAATCGTCGTATTTCGGTAAATTGGTTCAAGTGCGGAAAAAATCGGAATTTCACTTGACGATGTTGAAGAACAAACACCGAATTGGCTTTCACTTCAAAATCAGTCACAATTTAAGCAAAAAAAAAAATCCAATTCACAATAAATCGATATGCAACGTGTTTTCCCCCTTCCATTTCATATTTATAAGCGTGACTATATAATTAGATATGAATGTTCAGAGCCCGAATATGTGATTTTTTCCATTGTACCCAATCTTTTGACGAATACTGTGTGTCTGATGACACGGTGTCAAGTGAATCGTTAGCGGTTGTCAAAGCGATTACATTTCGATGTATGTCAACGTTTGGAACGATTGGAGGTAAATGAATGTGATAAACTTTTCTTAGTTGTTTTGCCTTTGTATGGTGACAAACAGCGGCTAACGTTTCACTTGCGCCTTCGCACAATGCTTAACATATCATTATTTATGGGTGCGCTCATATTCGATACAAATATGCTCATCATTGGCCGTTGCAAAATTTTTCATTTTTTTACATTCTTAATCAAAGAGAGGAGGTGAATGAGAGAACTAATTCATCTTGTTCGAAAATAAATTGTCTTTTTGCTGAAATATGAAACAATGTCGTCTTTAAATTAGTAAAAAAATAGGTTAAACGTCAGGTTAACTGAGTAACCGATGATGTTGCCTCTTAAAAATATATTATCATCTACAGCTACAGCGATCGGTTGGAGTTTTTTCTTTTTCATATTCTCGAATTCAAGCGTTCGAATAGAAATGAAGGCCCTTTTTCAGAAACGAAACGACATTTTTGGTTTGCGAGGAAGAAATCGATATTTTTAATAAAGCAAAATAAAAACGACATTTTTTTTAAAAAAGAAGACGACAAAAAACGAGGTTACGAAACGAACGACGATGTTTTTCTACACTGTGTTTGATTTGCAAGCGCTGACCAAAACGAGTGAATGAAACGTTGCTTTTGGAATCCAAAATTTGGATTGCAAGCGCCGAATCAAACGTTGATTGCAACGAATAAGCGAGAGACTGAACGGTGGTGCATTCAAATAAGCCTAAATTCTATGTATTTTTTTCCGACTATATTTGTCTTAATATTGATTGCATTGTGGTGGATCAAGTGTGATCCACCGTATCGTTGACTATGTATAAAATGCTAAATGCGCGCGTTTTTCCTTAAAGAAAAGAGACTCGGCAGTCGAAGCCTACACAAAGCATATCGAAAATAATTGTGGACAATTCTAGTTCAGGGGCATGGTATTGTTGTATAAATGTGTGGACAGTTTCAGTTCCTGTGCTTATTTATTCACTTATGACGTTATCGGTTCGGTGATTTGTTTCTATTTTCTCTAACAAAAATATGGTTTTGCTCGATTTTGCTAAGTTCGAACAACATTTTCGTCTTTCGATTTCAACAACGACAGCAATGAATTCGTTTTTCGTGTTTTTTTTTTCGTTTAGAATGTTTTGGCTTGATTTTTCGTTTATTTTTGTTTTATTTCGTAATCTAATCAACGATACAATTGAAGTACAGAAATTGAATTTTGATTTGAACAATAAGATTTTGTTGGTTAGCTATGAAAATGACCTGCAAATTAAATTAAACAATTTGTTTTTACACCTAAATTATTCTCTCAAATAGGTCAATGAAAAAAACCACAGCGAAAATATGTTCGAAAGCGAGACAGCTATCGCTGGCTGCATTATATGATGAGATTATGTTGTGCTTTTTTCCCCTTTAATTTCGTGGATATGAGTGTAGGTGTGTGGGTGTGTTGATTATGATGTCTAAACGTAGTTTTATGTGGTACTTATTTACTCGTCTCACTAATGATAATTATATAAACCATGGTTGGTGGAAATTATTGTATGCGTCACATTAGAATTCAGAACCAGCATTTGTTTGCGCTCTTGCTTTTAATTTTTGCGATCATGTATTCCTTCGTCGATCGTCGTCTCTTGTTTCTCCCTTCTTTTGATGGTTGCTTTCGGGATTCTCTTCACCAGAGAGATTGTTTTTTCTCCTTATCAAAATCTCTGCTCGAACAGACGAAAAATGCCAACGTTTCCTTCTCAATGAACCAAATCTCCTTCCAAATTTTGCTGTAGAACATTTTTGCACGCGCCTACGATCCAATTAAAGATTCAATGACGACACACGCAGACAATTATTATGAACAATATTCAATAAATATAACGACATTCGAAGGGGTTGTGTGTGTGTGTGTGGGTGTTTTTGTTTTAGTAAATTTTCGGTGCGCTACGATCGTTGATTGATTTATTTCGTTTGAGCGGCGCGCCACGCTTGATTTGATCCATCAGCGACTCATGACAAACTCTTGGGTCCGGCTGTAAAATTCAAAACACAGTTCAATTAGTACTCAAATATTGACTATTTTGGTAGTGGTTAGCAATGGGATTAAAATTTTCTTCAGCAATTTTAAAGCAGGGAATTTAGAAAAAAAGATTTTTTCAAACAAAAGAAAACCAACAGAAAATATTTTAACAACAGAAACAATATAAAACAATAAATCAACAGAAAATGGGGTTAACAATTCCAGGGATTAAAATAAAAAAAAAATCGGTTCCGATTTGTTTTCCTTTTTACAAAACAAAAAAAAAAGTTTTGTTCAAGAACTACGATTGCCAGTACCAGATTTAATTTCCAACGTAAAACGTTATTCATTTTTGCATTTAAAAAAATGTGGTTAAGAATTTATTTTGTATTTTGGTCATTTCGTTGATCAATTTAGACAAAAAAAATAATTTTTTCAGCATTTTTTTTACTCTTTTTTTAAATTTTTTCGAAAAATTGGACGAAAAAAAAAATAAAAAAAAAAAAATTGAAAAAAATGTTTCTGAAAAAAAATTAATTTCTTCAGAAGAAAACAATTCTCAAAAAAGAAATCAAAATTCCCTCAGATTTGTTAGAAGAAAAAAAAATTATTTAAATAAATGAAAAAATATATTCGAGGTGATGAATCTCTAGCCTCGTGAATTTATTTTTGTGATAAAATGTGATTAAGTGACCAATGAAAAGGCTGCCTTAAGAGTGAGTCCATTTTAAGATTAATTCTATTTTATTCAATAAACTAAATCACATCGCCGCAACGATGTAATGTGGGTTCAGTGTGTTTGTGTGGCAAAGCCAAAAAAGTAAGTCGGTTAATATGTATGGGATTAAAATTTGTTGATAAAAAGAGACAAAAAAACCGCGACCGAAAATTTTTAGCAGTTTACCGCAAAAGCACAACCAATGGTTAAATTCAAAGTATGTTTTCGAGTGTTTGTTTTGTTTTGGTTCAACGTGAACCATTCGCTCACCTCATCGCAATTTGCATAATTATTTGAATTAGCCACTGGTATTTGACTTCTGCTACCGTCAACTCTTTTCTGAATTCATTCGCCAAAATAAATTTTGTGCGGCACATTTGTTCGGGGATCAAAATTTTTGTTTTTTTCGATTTTCAACCCGATTTTTTTTTGCCAAAACAGAGAATTTTTCGAACCAAAAAGAAGATGAAATAAAAAAAGAAGAGAAATGAAAATTCAGTTCCATGTGCAAAAAAAAACAACTAATTTCAACAAAATAGATCGATTTCAAAGAGATTTTTTTTTTAAATAAAATTTCCGGTGAGATTCATTGTGGATTAATTGTCTCGGTCGTAATCTTACCAATGCTTTGCTGTTGATAATATTCCTCACAGCAAATGCCTTGCCGGACAGTCTTTGTTCCGCTAATTTAGCATTTAAATTTTCTAAAAATCCTAGTTTTGATTTAGCTCTAATCGAATTGTTGCTCTCATAATTCGATGACGAATAGTCTGCACCATCCCAATCGAGTCGGGCAGTAGTCGAACACATACAAGCAACAAATGGAGACACGGACAACAAGCGAAGATGGAAGAAAAAAAAGAAGTAGAGACACAAAAACATTGAGTAAATTTTTGTTTAGTGGGTGTTTATGTGGGAGAGGGTTGGTGAGAAGGGGAGAAAATATACAATTCCAAATACATTATATCAACAGCACAAAAACAAATCAATTAAGTTGAAAATAAAACCAAAATCATAACGTTTTCAAGCAATGTAATCAAGTGGTATGGGCAAATCACACAAATCATATTAAATTTTGTTCAACATAAAATGCATTTTGTCAACATTGGAAGAGAAAAATTATTCAATTTAATCGATTTTCGAAACAATTCGGTTAAAATGAATGCAGTCCAGTCGACTTTTCACTCAGAAAATGAAAAAAAGGAAAAAAAAAGCAAACAAAATTTCATTCGCAAATAAAAAAATAAGAAAATGAAAAAATGCTCAATTTGCAAATCAAAATAAAGAGAAGAGAAAAACGAACTTCTACGAAATGAAAAATCATAATTGGCAAAAATTAAGATTAAAAATTGTTCATTTCAAAATGAGCTAATTTATGCGTCGGCATTTCGAATGAAATCTTGTATGAAAGCACACAACGGAAGAAATCACACAACAACAAAAAACGTGTTCAAATGGGATGAAAAAAAAACCGTTGGTCAAACGAGGGGAAAATGCAACAAAACAAATGCAAGTGTCAAAATGTCGCATTTGAAAGCGACCAAAAACAAAAATGGCTCAAAGTATTAAAAGATCATTATAAGTCGCGACAAAAAGCGGAAAATCTAGCAAAAAAACACACGCACGCACAGCACACGCCTCACAAAAGCAAATTCTCATCGCACAACACGTTCCATTGTGTCGAAAAGAGTATTTTTAATCGAAAGAGAGAAAAAAAAATGCGTTGCAATTTAGAAGAAAGGCAAAAAAACCACACTGCAAACGAGGTGTACACGAGAAAAGCCCAATTTGGCTGAAACTTATTTACTTGAGGTCGTTGTTGGAGGCAAAGTTGCATACGTCGCGGATTCTTTGCCGAAACTCGTCGGCGAATAGTGTGATGTTGTGTGAGTTGTGATAAAGGGATTTGTTGATACATAAATTTTCTGTTGTACATTGTAATGACGATGATGGGGTGATGGTTGCTGATGCTGTTGATGATGATTTGGATATGGCCCTAAAAAACCGCAACAATTGTTTTTTTTTTGGTTTGTTTTTGTTCGTTATTTGATTTTTTTTTGGATTCATGACAACACCGGCATGGCCAAATCGTTTGAAATGGGTGGGAGACTGGTCGTGCGGCTCATTCGATTCATTCGCAACTGGACAGAACATTTTTTGGATTGACGGATCTGAATTTTTGGTGTTTTTAGCATTCATTTGGTCTGAATAGGTATGAATAGATCTGAATGATGAATGGGTCGGAATAAGTCCGAAAATGCGTTTGCTACAAGTGTCTGTGCAGCGGCGAGTGAAGTGAATGATGAACGACCGGTCTATGCGTGCAAACGATTCGGCCGCGCATTATGGCAATTGGGTTAGTGCAATCGAGGCGTTTGTTACCATCGTTTGACATTGCCGCGGGTGCATGTTGATTGTGCTGTTGGTGATGGTGATGTTGTTGTTGTTGTTGTTGCTGCTGCTGCTGCTGCTGTTGATGCGGGTGCTGCTGATGGTGCAGTTGCTGATAGTGATAGTTTCGGTCAGCAGCGCTTGTATAGATTCGTTCGGGTTTGGTGGGTTTGGGCGCTTTCGCTTCATGATTTTGTTGGTACGAATGATCGGAATTATGTGTGGGAGGTGATTGTATGGGATGATGATGGTATGAACTTTGTGCATAGATTTTTTGATTTGCATGCGCATGTGACGTAGGCTTGGCTACTTAGGTTTATTTTTATTCAAAGTGAAATTGATGCGACGAAAATAGGAGAAAAAATCGAAAGAATTTTAGTGGAAAATCGTGAGTGGAGAACCTTAGGATTCACTGTGAAAACATTGTCAACCATCTCAAAATGTCCGGCAACGCAAAACGTCGAGGCTGAATTCGAAATGTTTCAAAATTTTCGGATTCGATTCAGATTTGAATCTCAATTCGGTTCTGAAACCGATGGGCATAATATCCAAATACAAATATCGAATCCATATTTCATTGACACCGCTTAGCCCGAACTGATGCCCATCTTTTAAAACCAATTTTCTTCAATTTCGATTAAAAAAATGCAGATGTTTCCGGTTGACATTTTGAAAAGATGTGAATGTTTCGAGTGAATATTCGATGTATGAATGAGTTTAACAACCTTGTACGATCGGCGGTGCAACTTGTTGATGCATATCACTAACTCGAGTCGTGTTTAACTGCGTTATAACTCGAGTGCCGGGCTGATTTCGAGCAGAATCTAATGGATTTATGAACGAAGGAATGAAATGAAATCAAATCAATTGCAACTTCAACGAATGATTTTTATGCTAATTTTTTGGACGCTTGTGGTTAGTTCTCATGGATAAATGATTTCGATTAGATGAATTTTTGCTTAAAATTCGTTTATTTCCTCAAAATTTATTCATTTCAAAAGAAATGAATTAAACGAATCTGTTGATTGAGTATCCGCATTGAAATCTAAGTAATCTTTTATTTCCAGAAGAAAATTTTGAAATCTTCTTTTATGAAAATGATTTTTTTATCGAAAAATTTACGGGATTTTCTTGGAACACGAACTTTTTTTTCATGAAAAATGAATTTTTTTCGCAAAAAAATAATTTTTACGAGGGAAAATGCCATTTCTCCGTTAAAATATGACATTTTTCAGTCATGAAATGAACTTATTTCAAGAACTGAACCTTTTTTGCTTCCAAAACGGAATATTTTCGTACAAGATAGAATATTTCTGTATGAAACCGACCATTTTAAACGCCATTTAATGATCAAAACTGAGAAATTTCGAATTATTCTGAAGATTAAGAAAAAAAAAATTGGCACATAAAACCCTACGCTGGCTTCCGACGACATTTGAAGAAAGTGTATAAGATTAGCTAAATGGAAAACACTCATTGCAATCGATTCGCAATACTTACTTGGACTAGCATTTCGGAAACTGGATACTTTAGTTAGATGTTTTGGTTGTGCATAAATGCCACTCTGCATCTGACGAGTTGACTGAAAGAAAGAGACCAGTAAGACGATTAATCAAATGTTTAACAAAAATGGTGATATCAACGCGCAGAAGAACAAATGGGATCGACTTTCATGGAATGAGTCGGTGTTTTCGCCGCCAAAAACTATCAAATGAGTGTTATTTCTAGCAAATCCAACTTTGAAGGAAACGAAGTTTAGACTCTACTTAGTATAGATTCTTATTCTCTTATGTATTGTCTCCGCATAAAGTGTTGTCCGCATCGACAATGTATTTCAAATGGTCGATGCGGACAATACTTTATGCAGAGACTGTACAAAAAACAAAATGCCGATATTCCGAAACTTTATTCCAGAATTCGACGGTTGAATCACTCGTAACACTCAAGATACTCACTAAATAGATTGGCAATGATGACGGCGATTGTTCAGAAGAGTGTGATGAGTGTGATGGTTGTAATGTACTGTAAATGGATTGGGACTGTTTGGTTTGGTTGGTCGTGTAGTAGTCGGTTTTTTGTGGGCCACTACTATAAAATGGATTGTGTTGTTGTTGTTGTGACGGTGGTTGGTTGTGGTGATGATGTGTCGGTGACGATTGGTTTGAGGTCGAATAGATAGACTAACAGATTGAATGAAGGCCAGAATTTTGAAGAAAAAAAAATTAACAAAAAGACATCGAAAAAGAAAAAGGTGCTTAATCAATTTTGAATTTGGAAAATAAATTTGCAATATTTTTGTTTGTGATGGTGTGTCGTGTAATACGTTGGTGAATGTTTTGAATTTACATGGAGAGTTTTTTGTGTGACCCTTTTGCGAGGTAAACAATGTTTACTAAACATTGTTTTTAGGGAAGAACCTCTTGTTCTTGCTAAGAAGAATTTTTTTTTTTTCAATATTTCGGAAGGGAATTCGTTACCTGTGGTGAGGCCGGGCTCATGTTCCTTCTAAGAACGCTTGGGCTGGCTGGCATGTGATTCAGTTCGGTCAACGCTTTCACAGTTTCTCCAACTTTGCCAGGCGATGTGCGTCCAGTTGAATCGAGCAAATAGGCCGGTGGCGGTGGCAAACTTTCCGACGATGCATTCATCACGTTTGGTTGTAATGGCTTCAAATTAGGAGATAATCCATTAACAAAACAATTCAAATTGTTACGTATAAAGAAAGTCGAAACGAAGAATCTCAAAACAAAGACATCCGAGTGAAAAAAAAAAACTCCGTAGAAATGGAAGAAAAAGTTGCTTACCGAATGTACCGTATCAATTTGATGGCTTGGAGTAACGCTTGAGCTTCGTCTAACTGGTGGCGGTGGTTTAACGCTATTTGCCGTTCGTCGCGATGTGTTTCGATTCACGCAGCCTGGTTCAATGAAAAATCCCATTCGTTAATAAAAAAAATTATTAAAATTAGGGTAAAACATTTAGACTCTTGTTCCCTTTAGACAATTAGAATTTTATGATAGTAAAGAAGGTTCATATTGAGAAGCAACAATAAAATAAGCTGAATAATTGGCACATCTATGTCAAAAGAAAAACTGTGTAAACGAATAAAAAAAAAGAGTCGATCAATAAAATTCAGCTTCTTGATTCAGTCATAGATAAAAGCAACGATAAACTCTAACCATCAACTTTTCAATATAAATATATCCAAAAATACAGAAATAAAAACTGCACAGAGAACAAAATGTGGCTACGGAATAATAGTATAAATTGATTGGATGCAACAATACAAGAACGATATTTAAATATATGTGTGTGTGAATGAGCTGTCAAGCGAATGAGAAATAAAAAAAATGGTTTAAAAAAATATTGAAAAGTAAAACTAAAAACTGGTCTAGTTTTGTAATATTCTCTGAATGAAATTGTGTGAATTGTTCTCTCGATGAAAGGCTTTGATGAAGGCAAAAAATGATATAAACAAAAGAAGAAAAAAATGAACCGAAAAATTCGATGAGAGAATGATGAACGGAATTCTTGTTTTCAGAAAATGGAAACTAATAAAATAATAAAAAAAAAGTAGTCAAAACAAACCAGACAATGAAGCGGGTCGTGGTGTGATGATGGGTTTTTGTCGAATCATCTGTGTGGCCGAGTGATCGTTATCCAATGAATCGACCACATCTTGATCCATCACATCTGTGCCATTGGTTGTGCCATACTCATAATGATATCGCACCGAATCGGCTGAACTGATCGATTGTCCACGTTTCAGTGTAGTCGCCTTGCCATCTGGGCTGGATGGTTCATTTTTCGCAAAACTCGAACATCGAAATGAACTGATGCGTTCGACATCTTTACCATTTCCATTAACATTTGGGCTGCCGTTAACACTTGGATTGCGCTCTGGTACGCTGCCATTGCTCAGATCATTTAAACTGTCTTTGCGTCGCAGAACCACAATTTCCGTGTGCTCTTTGACATAATCATCGCTAACATTGTAACTGTCTGGTATTAATTCGATATTTCGTGCCACGGTCGATCCATTCAAACTGCTCGTACTGTTCAGCATCGATGAGGTACCATTCACTGCGGCGGTGCCGCCACCGCTAAGGCTGTTCGAGCTGCTGTGCATGATCAACGGATGTTCGGTGGTGGATAAATTCAATTTCAGCGACATTGTTGTCGCTTGACAATCGGTTAAATCATTTAACCCGTCGCTACCGAATGTCATTTCACTCACTGTTGAACACATCAATGGATTTGGATCACTGCTGCCGATCGATAGCTTATCAAAATTATTATAAATATCACTGATATCGCCGATTGATGATGCCGTCAATGTGGTGTCGCCCGTTGTATTGTGCACATCATGGCCATTAGCCAGTGGCTTTGCTTGCTTTTGCTGCTGTTTCTCACGCTGTTTCTGCTTCATTTTCTGCTCATGTTCACGTTGAAACGTATCCAATTCGCCAATCAAATTGTTTAGCTCCTGAATTGAATCCTCATACATTTGGCCTGATGGAATCAACACAGTTATTTTTTCGCGTTTAGTTTGCGAACCGATCGAGCAATGGACACAGAATCAAATTTTTCAAATGCGTTTTTTTTCATATGATTTTGGTTTAGTGTGTGTGTGTGTGTGTGTGTTTTGGTTTCGAATGAAAATGAAAGAAAAAAAAGAACAAAACAAAAAAATAAACAAAAACGAACAAACGCAAAAGAAATAAAAAAAAATAATGATAAAAGAAACGGTTTAACTCAAATTAATTGCCGCTTTTTTTTTAATGCCAAGAAACAGAAAAGCGATTGAGTAGCGAAAGATGTGCATGCGTCTTTCTCTCTCTCTCGCTTGCTCTGAATGGAATCACATTCACTTCGACGTTTCATTCTTTTCGTCGTAGTCGTCGTTTTTCGTTGAAGCACACAGATCTGATTCTGAACAGTTGGATTCCCTTGCAAAAACAAAACGATCGCACAGCCGTTTGTTATATCGAAAGTCGAGCAACGAAACAAAAAGAAGCGCAACCAACGTTAAGAATCAAACCATTGGCCATTCTTTTGCTTAAATAGTCTTAATGAGATTGTTTTTTTCTTCTGTGTTTTGCTAAAGAGATACGATTTTGACCCAAAAAAATTTTTATATAAAAATGATAAAATACCGAATCAAGATACAGTTAAACACTGATTGTGTGCATGCAGGTAAAATACAGAGAAGAAAAAAAAATACGCAGAACAGAAATAAAAACAAAAACAATCCAAATAATTTGAGAAATGGTTTCATCTCCCTCTCTCTGGCAACAAAACTATTTACATAAAAAAAAACATCAAACATTCCGGTAAATGCATTCCATGAAATGTGAAAAAAGAACACATTTTATTTACGACTGAAGAAGAAAAAAAACACAGCAAACCGTATGGCCGTGGAAATTTCGGTGAATTGTGAAAACGAAACGAAATGAGCAATGCATGCATCCCTACAGCAATTGTAAATTTCACAACAGCCATAGCAACAAAAAGTCGGAATTTATTGGCTAGAATCACGTTAAGTGCGTTCATTATCTTTCGCGCGTACTCTAATTTGCTTCAAGTGTGTGAGTGTGTTGTGTGAACGGCGAAAGCATGTACATTTGGAAATACAAAGCATTGAGAATGAGTGAAATTCGGTTACATACCTGGATCTTTGTCAATCGATCGAATGGATTTGGATAGGTCATCGTTGCGTCTGGCATTTGATGCGGGTGATGCAGCTGTTATTTCATTTATAGCTCCCGTTGACGATGTGATCGAATTGGTTTTGGCCAGTGCTGCTGCATTGGCCACAGCTGCCGCAGCCGCAGCCGCTGCTGTACTCGCCGCTTGACGCTGCTCCAATTTCTCGAACAATGACAATTTTTCTAAAACAGAACCAGTACTTTTGTAATCGTCTACATCCTCGCTACCGCCAATTACTCCAATTGAATTATTAGCTGGATTTGTTTGAGTGGTTAGTTCAGTGCACGCAGTTTACAATAAAAGATACATTGTGTGGGTTTTAGTAACTCGCAAATCTTTTTTTTTTCTAGGCTACAAATCAGTTTGGTTAATGGGGTTTTCAACAAACTAAGCTACGAGTCAATATTCGATCCATTCATAACGTTAAATTCAAGAACAAAAATGAATAACGTTTAGTTTGCCGTCATTCATCCCGTTTAAGTTGAATGTGGAAATGGTTGAACATTTTCAAAAGGCTAGCGATACAAAAAATGAATTTTCAACAGAAATCAACCAAGAATTCTAAGAATTCTCTTAAGCCAAAGAAATCGAAATAGATTCCAAGTTTAAATCGTTGAAAATGTTCAGTTGTAATCAAACTATCGAATGGAATGAATAATATGATCGAGATTTCACGCATCGATGCCTGTTTTTATATTAAGTGTTTTCGATGCATCAATCTCGTATTTGCCAATTTAGATTCTTTTTACCAATTTAAACTCTTTTTGGTTTAGATTTTCGAAAATTTCGAGCGATTTATGAAAATCTTGAGTAACTTTCGAGCATTTTTTCTAGGTTCTAAAGCATACGATAAATCCAATAAATGTACCTGATGTGGACGATGACAAGGATGTTGGATTTGTATCGTGTATAGCACAATCATCGTAGTCAATGGATGAAAAGGGTGCCGCATCAACGGACGCTTGACGTGACAGTGTATCATCGGTGGCGGTGGACAATGGTGATTCCGGGTTTGTGGTCATGGAATTGTTGGTGTTGGTGTTATTTGTGTTGGTATTTGTGGTGGCGGTCAAATTGTTATTGGTGGTTGTTACGGACGATGAATCGGATTGTGGTGATTGCGCTGAAAATGGCATAGTTGGAGTGTTTGATTGGATCGGTGTTAATGGCTCTTGATTTTGTTGCTGATAGTGTTGATTGATCGAATTAGTGATTTTTAGAGCGGCCATCGTTGCCAATTCACTCATATTAACATAAGTCGGTTGAATTATTGGATATTCTGTACAAGCCGAGCGAGTGAGCGAGCGCAAGTGATTCAGTTTTCAAGTCAATATATTTACAATTAGAAGGTAGAAACGGTGTTAAGAACAGCACAGTACACAATTGTTTGGTAGTAGAAAAACCAGGCAGAGAATTGGTTTTTGGTAAGAGTAAAAACACGGTAGTTTTGGTAGTAGTTGTCACAAACACAAACAGCGTATTGTCAGTTGAGGGGAGGAGAAAAGCACAGAGAGCATGTGAAAAAAAATGAAAGAGATAAAAAAGAGAAACAAAGTGCGTTTAGTTTTTCAATCAGATAAGTTAGTCAAATTTGATTTTAAGTCATGCCAAACACTAGTCAGTCGGTTAGACGATGCTTGCGTTTTCATTTCAACGCAAATGAAATAAGCAATCAGTAACGTCATCGTATTAGATACACATCGGTTTTTTTTTACCACGACGTTTTTTTTTATCAAATGGCCATAGTCTTTGAGCTAAATTGGGTGTGTGAGTGTGTTTTTTCTGTACCTTTTGTGATGTGCGCTGGTAATGGCGATGGTGAATGTCTCATGTTATGCATTGTTTGATTCCGAGCACCGGCTGTTGATGATGACAATGGCCGTTCGAGCGATGAGCATCTCTGTAAAATTCAAATGACAAATGCAATTAGCGTCTTCTTATCGGTTGCGATTCTCTGTTTTTGCATTGGCAAATGCATCAACAGATGAAGAATGTGAAGAAAATGGAGGAAAATAGAAAAAAAACATGCTAAAAATGTCGAAAGGAGATAAAAGAAAGAGGTGAAAAAATGTCACAGAAAGTGACACACGTGGAAAAGATGAAACAAATGTGAGAATAAAAATTCGAGCAAAGAAAATGCGTGGGAAGAAGGTCATTCGCCGCATTTTGAAGGGCAGTTCATCTATTGGATAAACATCAAGATCTGTCAATATCCTTCATCTTTGGGTTTTAAAAGCCTTTTCTGCTTCAATAAATATTGCAAATTCACCATAGATCCCAAAAAAAGCACAACCATAGCTTACCACAGGCAAAGGTGGACGACAAGCCACGTTAGCAGGGGACTTTTGAACCGGCTGCTGTTCGGTAGTGGTTGATCCATCTGGATTTTGAAATGTGTAAACAGTGAGCGGTGGCCGTTGATGTCCCTTTTCATAAGCTGTTGATATTGTGTGCGGTCGATCGAGCGATGTGACTGGATCCTGTGAATGTGGTGGCCATGTTGATACGGCATGTGTTTGATTTGTTGTTGTTGATGCCTGGAAATCAAAAACAAACCGACCATTAAGCACAAAAAAAAAATCGTCGAATGTAAACAAAGTGAGACAACGAATCACCAAAATGACTCATAATCAGTTTCACACATAAATGACTTAATACTTGTATTACAAGTTGTGACTTACAACAATCAAGTTTTAAACACAACTGTTTTGCTGTTTGTTTTTAAGTGTTAAACAACAAATAAACGAAGAAAAAAAAACAAAAATAAATAAAAAAAAGTAAGAAAAAAAGAAACCTGTGATGTAAGCGCCGGCGATGAGCAAAAGCCACTATCACTAGATTCGCCTGGTTTTAAGCGTATTGCAGGTGTCATTAACTATATGGTTCGCGTAAGTTTGTTTGTTTATTTTTTACATACACACGTAACAAAAGCATTACAACGAAAGAAGTCCAAACGAAAGAAAAAAGAAACAATCGCACAGAAAAAAAAATGGATAACGAAAAAAAAGAAAAACAACAGAAGTTAAAAATAAGAATAAAAAAACACAGTGAAAAAAACGAGAGAAAGAAAAATCGAGAAGCATTTAGGTTTTACCTGCGAAAGAGATCTTTGGTACGGCATTCCGGGTGAATTGCTTGAACCGCTTGAATTGATCGAACTGATTGAGCATACGGAACTCTTTCGTGAGCCCAGCGAATTTGAGTAGCCATGCGAACCGCCCGGCGATTCGGGATACAAGAATGATGCCGATGTTTTTGTTTCGAGAATCAACTCCTCGGACGCTTGCGGTAAAATGTTTGGATTTTTCGTGACATTTGTTATCGTTTCCATAGCCTCTTGTAAATGACCTAGTTCATACATTACTTCGAATTCCTCTTTTACCACCGGCTGCAATAAATTGACAAACGTACAGAATCGTGTTCGCTCTTCGATCATGGCCGCGCGCAATGAACGCCGTTCCACCTCCTCTAAGTCGGCTTTACGCTGTGTTATGTCATGCATTGATGATTCCACTAAACTTTGTATCGAATCGGATTGCCCTTTTTTCGCCTTCTTCTGCAAACGCAACGTATCGGTTGAACGTTTTTTCAATTCGGCACGACAACGTTTATACTCTTTTGCATGCTCTTTATCAATGACAGCCACTTGACGCTTCCAATCTTCAACTTTATCCTGCGAATTTTTTTTTTTTTTTTTTTGGGAAGGAGAAAAATGAACGGAAGTTTTTTTTTAGATTGATACGATAAGAAATGATTTCGCAGAGAATCAATTTATTCATCTTCACGAAATATTTGATGCTGCAATTGTCGAATTCATCACAAAATGTGTCTAAAATACGTCGGTAATTTACCTGCAATGGCAAAATCAGACAGTCCATAATGGCAGTTGTGAAGCTTTTCATGCGCGTTTCCACCGCTTTGTGCCGCAAACATACACGAGTCAATGCTGTACCAATTTCCTTGGATGCGCCTGCAATCGGAAGTAAAATGATGATTTATTATTAATCAGTGGCCTGCTTAAGTGTGCATTAAAACATTATTTCTCGAAATTCCAACCGAAGATCATACGATAGAATATAGCATACCAAATAGAAAGTTAACGGGGAAAACAAATTAAATCTAAGCCTATAATTATCGAGTTCGGGACAGTTGTTGTTGTTTTTTCTCTCTAATTTTTGTTTCACTTACTTTTTCCTTCTTCAATCGATGTTCGTTGTTGTTTTCAATCTTAATTTCTCAATGAGTTCCCTTGCATCGACTCGAAAATCCAAATAAAATCGATCGAAGAAGGCCTCTAAATCAAAGTTTCAAAATTTTTGACAAATTGACGATTGTCATCATCAATTTGGAGTCAGTGGATTGAAGCGTAACAAATCAATCGGCCAGATAGATATTGAATTTGGGGCCCATCATTTTCGGTTGTTTCGATTTAATTAGAAAATACTGTGTGAGAACCCCGACGAAATCAAGTAGGTAGAGAAAGCGTAATCGCGATAGACGACGCTAGTTTGTTCGACAAATTGATGGTAAATGACGAAATCGATTTGATTTGATTTGTTTTTGTCATCGTTTGGTTTATGGATCGAGAGCGCCATCGCAATTTGTGATCCATCCGAATCGATTGCGGATAGAAAAGGAAATAAAAAAAAAGGCCGAAACAAAAGCAAATTCGACAAAAATTACTGATGCTGATAAATGGTCGTGGCACGTTTATTGATTCGGTGTTTGATCTTCATCAAAATCATACAAGTATGGTGTTTTGACGATGACCACCCAAAAATGGAGTGAATGCCGGATTCCAAAAGTCTTCTTTTATTAGCCGGGTGTGTGTGTGTCTGTGTTTTCTTTCATTTGTTCAATCCAATTTCGAGAAATTGATTTGGAATTCATGACAGCGGCTGAAACAAAATGAACAGAGAATTTTGACTTCATGCCAGTTTTGAGCCGTTCTCAAGCCATGCACACAGATCCATCATATTTGTCGACAGAAACCAAATCAATGGACTTCTGAACAAACAGTGAAGATATCATTGGCAATAAAAATACATACTGTTCAATAGTATTAAATGCTGGCATCGCACTGCTCATTAGAAATCTCTGGCTCTTGCTCTCTTTCGCTTGGTTCATTCGACAAACGAAAAACCGACGTACATCTTAGACATGGTCCATAATTTGTGTATTGTTATTAGATTACTGACTGACTGTACAATCGGTTTTTTTTTGTTTCTTTTTTTTTATTTTCATTTTATGATTGTAACTGCAGCAGCAGCAGTAATTTGCTGTAAAAAAAAATCTAATTAAACCGCATTGAAATGAATGAAAAAGTTTCTATTTCGTCTCTCTCTGGGGCCTTGCGCCGCACTATTTGCGACTAGATGTTTGATTTGTGTGTTTTATTCGCCGTGTCTTTCGGCGAGTGTGTGTGTTTTTTCGTCTTCTGTTCGTGCTTGGGTTTTCTTCGCTAGGCTTAGTTTTGACTTGGTTAGTGTGCGGTTGCAGCAGCAGAAGTAACAACAACCGAAGAATCAAAAAGCAACAACAAGAGCAGCAGCTACAACGGCAGCATCATCAGCAACCGCAGCTGTTTTGTTATAATTTGCGTGTGTATCTATAATTTTGTAGTGCAGCTCGTCTTCGCCAATACTCACTCACAAACAATTATAATTTGATGTGTAATTTTCGGTTTTGATTTTCACAATATTGAAATGCGCGATAACGACACACAATGCCGACGGTTTGTTTTTTCTCTCCTCTGCCTTCGTTCTCATCTCTCTGCAATGAAAAACGAAGTGCTAGCATGCAATGGGCTTGAGATGCATGCGCACCGTCCAAGATTTGAGACTGTATCTGCGTTGATTACTTTTTTTTATTTGCAGCTCGGATCCGACATGCATACACGAGTTTACGAGTGAAGCATTAAAAGTTTGTTATGTTTTTTTCTCTCTCTCTCTCTCTTCTCCAGTTGCATAGCACAATCGCTGTGTTGGCATCGACACAAATGCTCGAATGGTAAAGAGTGCAGAAAGTATCACACAATTTCGATTGAGGTGTGCGTTCGGCTTTTGTCTTTTCTTTTCATCCATTTACCCGGACATTAATCCAATCCATTGGAATGGCCAACTCATACCGATTTTTTTAGATCTTTTTATTGCCTGCGTTTGTGAGTGTTTATCATAAAGAAATTTGCGTACTTTGATGGGTGTTGTTCGCCTTTAATTTGATCGGTTCTAATTGTGTGTTGCTCGTTTTTCTTTCGTTTCAGATTGTCGCAACATGTGCAGTGCACACACGTAAATCATCTGCATACATAATCACAAACGGTCTATGATTTATTCGATCGCATTGGAATGATTTGAATGGGAACCATATAGGTGCTTCTACTAATTGCACTTGTGCTGTGTTTTTGAGCCCACACGTAATCGAATACCATGGCATCGCGCGCATACTGCATGTGCACTCGTTGTGCATTTGCGTGCAAAATTCATCCACAAAAGAAATTGAAGCCATCTCAATGTATATTGAACATGGCCTAACTACACAAGGCTACTGCTGCTGATGATGATGCTGTTGTCCATTTTTTTTCAGCTCCAAGAGCAAAATAAACTTAAGTCATGCATGTCATGCATGAAATGAAGCAGAGATACACACACACAGAGAGAGAGAGATATACCGAGACCATTTGTGTTCTCACAACGATGTCAAACTTATTCAATGATGCACAAGCGAATATTGTCCGCCTCATTTTAATTATTGGATAAACAAAGAGCCCCTCTGCTCATCATTCGGATAACATTCGCCTTTGACTTGAATTCTTTTCGATAGCCATCGCACTATTTCGCAAAACAAGCAACGGTTTTGCCATACAAACACACACCAAATTGGCATTTAGAACGAAATTCGCTTCATAAAACACACATTGCAGATTACATTTTCCGAAAAATAAAGCAAATGCACATTTCAAAGGTATTACCTAATCCAACGTTCTTAGAATAGAATTCTCGTCCGGATTGTGCAAACAGAGGAACGAACATCAACACACGAGAAAAAAAAAGAAGTTGAAAGAAGAAATGAAGCCTTTAATAAAAAGCGAATTTTTTGAAATAGGAATTTCTTCGGATGAAATAGGAAGAATCAACGTGATGAGCTCGACAGAAAAAAAAACCAGGTTCATTGAATTGTGAATCATAAATGTCGAGTTTTCTGTCGAAAATTGAAGCATTACAGCGACTGAGTTATGTAAACATTTCGAATGGGTGAAGATATGGAACGGCCGTTTTTTTTTTGGGTCATTGCAGCAATATTTCGACAGCCAGTTTGTTTTTAAACTGTTTTCGGACAGCGAAGAGCGATAGAAGGTACTCGTTTTTACTTGGTAGAAGGTAGCTATCGACAGTTTTACTAATGATTGTGAAAAAAGTACGGATGTAAAATGTGATTGCCGGTTGTCAATGGCCAAACTTTCTATAGACTTGATGTTCTTCATGAAAAAACCACATTTTCAACACAATTTGGAACAACGCCTGAGATTTTTGTTCAAAATGTGAAGGAAATAAAGAGTCAACATTTGAAACTGTCAATTTTTTCCTATCCATGTTTTGCACTACACCAAAATGCATTTCATGCTTTTGAACTATACAACTAATCTAACTGAAATTGAGAAATATTGTGATTCTTCCAACGACCAACCTGAGCTAATTTACAAACAAAGAATTTTTTTTTTGTAAAATAGTTTGCAAAGCTACTTTCAGTCATAAAAGACCCGAAACATGGGAATCACAGCCGCGTCATCAATTTTCATCAAAAAAGGATTCGACATCACTCGGTTATCGACTTATTTGTGAGATTTGTATGACTTGCAGAAAAAAAATTTAGTAAATAAAGTCTTGAGAGAGTTCTTTTAAACATTTGTTTGAAAATTCGTGCATCGACTGGCCCAGTTCGTATGCTTCTCATACATATCGCAAAAAAAGTATTGATATGAAAAGCATGAGCCATAAATCGACGATAGAAAATAATTTCCATGTGAATTGAACGAGAAAGAGAAAGAAAAACACAAAGTTGTGTCTGAAAAAAGCCCCGTTTTGTGGCAGCTGTGATGTGTGCATATGTGCTGATATCGACGGAAATGTGCCCACTGAATGAGTGCACAGCATAGCGAGCGAGAGAGAGTATCATGGTCTTAATCGAAAGAAAGAATGAGAGACTGTAAACGCGCGTGCTTTCAAGCAAAAGGTAGAAAACAAACGCAAACCAACCGGGAAGAGACAGATCGAAAAAACAGGCCAAACGTTTTACCTGATCACGTTTGATTCCGTTTAATATGTTGTGTGTTTCTTCTTCTAATTTGTGTCCATCGTTGTTCTCATTTTGGTTATGTTTCTCTCTGTCTCTCTATATTACGATTGATTTGCATGTTGCAAACGAACAATTCCCGTTTCATCACAGACACACACTATAATTTCGTTCTTCGTTTATTTCCATCAATGAAGAAATGATTATTTGTTTTTGCGGCCAATTTTCTGGTGAATTAAGTGAAAAAAATGGTATTGGGTGTGTGCATCAGCCGAAATAAAAAAAAAAGAGTCCAAGAAAGAAGAAGAAAAAAACAACAACCGAAGGAAATGGCAACGAGAAATGAAATAAAGGTATGGTTTGTGTGTATGTTTGATTGGAAAAGGCGAACGCGATTTCTCTCTAAGTAATGTACTTTATCAGCTGAGTGTGTGTGTCTGTGCATCGTGGCTATCTGATGGAATGTCGAATCATGGTGAATTATTTCGCTATACCAATCGAGAAAGAGAGAGAGAGAGAGAGTCGCGCGCCAGCCACCACATCAAACCGAAAAAAGTTTGTTATTGTAAAAAACAAATAAATTTCGGAATTTCATTTCGTACAATTTTGTTGCTTTGGCTCGGTTTGGTTTCACGTGTGTTTCGATTTTTGTGCATGGAATCGAATCGTGTATATGTC